ATATATATATATATATATTCATGACAAATATATATTAGACAATCACTACATGACAAAACTCCATAAAACATAAGGCCTATTAGCATGAATATTAATTGTGAATGCAAATAGCATAGTTTTGAATAGAAATCATGAATTTTATTCAAAAAATGCGGAGCAGAGTGTATTTAAATGCAGAGCAGTCTGATGTTTAAAAAAAAAACCCCAGCAGGCCAATAAGGTATGAGCTTTTGGTCATATCCTGAACAAAATACTATGTTTTTGTTTAATATTAATAAAACCATGGGGGTGGCAGACTCCCCCGGTGCCAAAACAAAAGCTCAGTCTCACTACGAGGACTCGCACTCATATTTTACCTTCCAGCAGTGACTGTGGTCAGAATCTGTGATGGTCAGCATGTGATGGGAATCTCCTGGGATATTATTATGGAGGATGTTTGGAAAGTTAGATGCATTTCAGGTGGTCAGAGACGAGCGTGAAGCCCTCCTGCCGGCGATGTGCCCCAGGGGCGTGTGTTCAGCCCACTTTATTTGCGGATGCTGCAAAATATGCAACGCAGCTCCTTTTGTTGCAGGTTTGGCCGTGTGTCAGAGATCCCGCTGTGTCCTCTGCTGTCAATGACATGTTTAGTGGGAACAAAAGATCAAGTAGAGTACATTTTGAGTGGTGCTTGTCTGTGCAAAATTCACCGGCACAATGACGTGGAGTGGTGGGTGGTTGCTAGGGTGTTGCTGTGTGGTTGCCAAGGTATTGTGAGTAGGACAGTAACAGCACATCTCTTTTGTGCTGTAGTAATTCTGGTTAGGATCATTTTGTTTGGGGTCAAATTGACACAAACTGGATTCAGTACAATTCAGGAACAAATCACACTATAAAAAAAGAAAATCAGACAAAAACCTTAAACATTAATACTTCTGACATATTACAAAAAACATGAAATGAAAACATGATTTTTAAAAGTGTTTTTAACAACTATTTTTTTTAACATTTGTTTTTCACAAAATGTAAATATTATGAACAGTATTGTAAATACATATATTTTTTAAAATGTAATATTTAGATATTTTTTTTATTTTTAAATGTTTTTTTCATTGGATTTAATACAATTTACCAAAAATCACTTTGAAAACAAACAAAAAAAACATTTTAACAATAATACTTCTCACACATTTTTCACAAATTGTGATTTAATTTTTTTTTTTTTAAATGGATCCAATACAATTCACCAAAAAGTAAAAAACCTTAAACATAACAACATAAGATTTTTAAAACTGTATTTAACATCTGTTTTTTAAACCTTTGTTTTTCAACTTTTTTTAATTTAAAATTTTGATTTTGTTTATTCCATTTGTTTTCTCATAATGTGAATATTATGAATAGAAATGTAAATACCCTTATATATATATATACACACATACATGCAATTTTGGTTTTGTCCAGCTAATCATGAAATCTGTAGGTCAAATTGATCTCCTAACTTCACAATCACAATAGAAATTTCATACACACATAGAATAGGAATAATAAATAGGAATAATAAAAGAATAGTCTCGAAGTCTCACCAAGGCTAAGTTTATTTGTTCAAAAATACAGTAAAATCAGTAAAAACACCTCAGAGAGTGGAAACTTCGCAGGCATGTTCACGGCCCTAAACGAAAACAAATCAGACAATTTCAAGAAAAACATCCTAGTTTAACATGTATTTCCAACAACTCAAATATTCAATAACTCAAATACTCAAATTGACCCAGAACACAATATAAACCATGACCTGAGGAATCATTCATGTCTGGAGCACAATTCACACACTGAACTGCTAGTGGTTTGATCTAACCAATAAACCTTAATGTGATTACAAAAAAATATGCTACTTGCCTTCCTCATTATTGATATTATATTGACTGTATTTCTACAGGCTGCTGGAGCTGGAGAGCAGCGGACAGAAGAGCGAAGTGCGTCTTCATTTCCAGACCAAAGGCCAGCAGACGTACACAGAGATCTTCCCTTACATGCTCGCCGACAACCAATGGCACAAAGTCTCCGTCTCCATCAGCGCTTCACATGTGGCGCTCTATGTCGACTGCAATAAGTATGTGAAATTACAGGAGAATATAATAATATACACAGCAAAACCACTTCTTAATGAGTCCTTTTGACATGTTTTCCAGTAACAACATCTTGAAACCTGATAAATGTACTTGAGAAGCAACCCTGCATAAGATAGTATAAGACGAATATACAGTAAGTGTATTTTGTCCTACTGTTCTGGCAGATGATCTTTTCAGAGTGTTTTAATATAAACAAGCGTTAAAATCTACCAGTGCAGTAAAACAAAATAGACATGAAAACATGTCAAAAATTATTTGTTTTAAGAATTTTTAAATTATTTTACTGGGAAACAAGATAAAAATACTTTTTAGCACTGCAAAAATTATTATTTTTACTCAGTGTTTTTATCTTTTCTCCAATACAAATATGTAAAAAAGACCAATAAAAAAAACATTTGAGTGAACTTCACAAGGAATGGACTGAGGCCATTTTGAAGGCTCAGGAAACCTTTGCAGGTGTTTTGAGTTGATTAGCTGATTGGCATGTCACCATATTCTAATTTGTTGAGATAGTGAATTGGTGGGTTTTTGTTAAATGTGAGCCAAAATCATCACAATTAAAAGAACCAAAGACTTAAACTACTTCAGTCTGTGTGCACTGAATTTATTTAATACACGAGTTTCACAATTTCAGTTGAATTACTGAAATAAATGAACTTTTCCACGACATTCTAATTTATTGAGATGCACCTGTATTTCAGAATTCTTACTGTACATTTCAATTTTTACTTTATACTTCGCAATTCTTACTTTACATCTCGCAATTTTTACTTTATACTTTGCAATTCTGTCTCTTTTTTTCTGGAATTCTTACTGTACATTTAAATTTTTTCTTTATACTTCACAATTCTTACTTCTCGCAATTTTTACTTTATACTTCACCATTCTGACTTTATATTTCGGAATTTCTACTGTATATTTAAATTTTTGCTTTATATTTCACAATTCTGAGTTTATATCTCGTAATTCTGACTTTTTTTCTCAGAATTGCTAGAAAAAAATTTACAATTACCTTTTAAAGGTTTTTTTCCCCCAATGGTGGAAATAAGCTTTCATACTTATTTAATTTGCTTCTTAAGTAAAAGCATCTTGATATAAGAATGTTATTTTACTGAAAAACAAGACAAAAATACTGAGCAAGAACATCAGTTTTTGCAGTGAGCTGTTTACTACATGCCACTTAGTTAATAAAATGCATTAATATTACTAATAATATTACTTTCCCAAATAAAAACAGTGTGTTCAATAGCACATTGCTTTGGTGTTGAAACTGCTATCAAGAATCAGGAAATTTTGCTGTTATTTTTTTGTGTTATTGGGACATTTCTCTTCAGGATCTACGAGCGAGTGGTTGCAGTTCCTCTGATGGAGATCCCAGAAGACACGTCGTTCTGGGTCGGACAGAGAAACAGCGCTCATGGCTTATTCAAGGTGTTTCATCTTCACCCCACACAAGAATCGTGAATCAGCACAGATGCACATCAGCAAACACACAGGCTAACATACTTCTCTTACTGTTTCTCAACTGTGCACACAAACCCCCAGATCAGCTGCTACACTTAAATGTGCTGCATAGAATACACTATATCCCACAATGCATTGCACTTACCTTCAATTTGCAGAGACCGATGGTTCAGTGTTATCGGCTGTCATCTTTCCAGATTTCCAATTAGATCAAACTGGAAAAAAAGGCTCAAAATTAGATTAAAAATGCAAAATAACATTTTACGCATTTGACAGATGCTGTTATCTTACAGTAAATGACAGTATTATTATAGTTTGCTAAAAACCACAAACATTTTCATTATTTGAAATAAAATGAACTTTAACTGAAATACAATAAAATAAAATATAAAAAACGTATTTTACTTCAGACAGGGTTTTTACTGTTAACTAAAACTAAAATCATAAACAATTTTGTTATTTATTTTATTAAATAAAATATAAAAAACTTAAAACAAACTTTTATTTCAGATCGTTGCAAATGCAACATTTCTCATTTTTGTTTAGTTTAACTTGAAGTAATAAAAAACTAAAAAAAGAACTAAGAAATAAAAAAATAATTACTATATAGACACAAAAAACTAATAAAATAACAAAAACACACAACAAAATGACTCAAACTTGAACTAAAATGATAGTGAAAACAGAAAAAAAAAATCTAACTTAAAATAATAAAAACTATAATAATATATCAGTGACACTAAAATAACACTGAATTCAGCTAGTTGCCAAAGCAAAATGTCTCATTTTTAATTTAGTTTAACTTAACGTACTAAAATAACAAACTAAAACTAAAATAAAATTTAATAACAATATGGACATAAAAACTAATAAAAACTAAAACTATATACGTATCTTGATACTAAACACTGAAATAAGCATGCAACATATGACAACAAATGCATTATGCAATATATTATCATGCACAGTGTGAATTTACAAAATAACAGTATAATGCTGTTTATCTGTGTATAATACTGTAATATTTATATTTGCATGCTGTATGCAGTATATAGTGCACAGTACGGTGTTAGCAGTATGTTAGACAGTCTACTGCTGTTAACTAATTTGAAAGGAAGTATCTGCTTTTTTATGGTAATTCACACCCATAACTGTGGTTTATTAGATTATAAAACACGCACATTTATTTGAAGCGTGTGTGTGTGTGTGTGTGTGTGTGTGTGTGTGTCAGAGAGCCTCTTTAAGATTTGAAGAGTCGCTTCAGGTTGTTAAATATCTCCAGAGTTAATTGGCAGACGAGGGAAGCTTGGAGGTCGTTCGCGGTTCTTGACGAGATTTCTCACCCCGCCTCCTGCTTCGGTCTCCATGGAGAAGCTGATTAGTGCTAAAAGAAAGCGCATGTTTCTGTCCTTCATTTGCATGTATAAA